TGTGTGGGTCATAACAAAACTGTGCATAATATTGTAAAAAATGGATATTCCAGAACACTTAATTGTGCTCATGAGGGATCCATACAGAGACCAAGAGGCAGTCATTAGAATAGAACAAGAGGATATTGACTGGTTTAAAATCCAGAAAGGGATGTGCCAGGATTGGGTGCTTTCAGCATGCTTGCTTAGTTTGTATGCTAAGCAGAGAATTCAAGAAGCTGGATTACATGATGAAGAATGTGACATCAGGATTGGAGGAAGACTTATTAGCAACCTGAGATACACAGATAACATAACCTTGCTTGCTGAAAGAGAAGAGGACTTATACTTACTGATGAAGATCAAAGACCATAGTCTTCAGTATGTATTATACCTCAATGTAAAGTAAAAATCCTCACAATGGGACAAATAAATAACATGATAAATGGAAAAAATACCGAAGCTGTCTAAGACTTCATTTTGCATGAATCAGTAATGAACACTCATGGAAGTTGTTATTGTTGTTAAGAGTTGTCCAGTCAGTTCTGACTCATAGCTACCCTATATTGGGTTTCTGAGGAACAACTGGCAGGTCTGAACAAGCTGACCTTGTGGTTCACAGCCCAGTGCTTATCCTATAGAGCCATACCAGGATCAAAGCACATATTGCATTGGAGAAATCTGCAGCAAAAGACCTTTTGAAGTGTTAAAGAACAAAGCCATCACTCTGAAGGCTAAGGTTGTCTGACCCACGCCATGGTATTTTCACTCACCTCATACACATGTGAAAGCTTGGCAATGAATAAGGAAGACTGAAGAATCATGGCATTTGAATTATAGTATTGGTGAAGAATATTGAAAGTGCCATGGACTGCCAGAAGAACAAACATCTATCTTGGAAGAAGTATCGCCAGAATGCTCATTAAAAGAGAGAATGATGATATTTCATCTCTTGTGCTTTGGACATGCTGTCAGGGGATACCAGTCCTTGGAGAAGGACATCATGCTTGGTAAAGTGAAAAAGAGGAGGACGCCCAACTCTACAATAATTAGACTCCTGGTGTGGCACTATAGGATAAGCACTGAACTGCTAACCACATATTGGTAGTTCAAACCCGCCAGCTGCTCTGTGGGAGAAAGATGAGGCTTCTTGTTCTCATAAAGATTTACAAACTCAGAAAACCCTATACAGAGGTTGCTACGAGTTGAAATTGAATTGATGGCAATGGATTTCCTTTTTGATTAATCAGTTGGTGAAAATATATATATTGAAATATTTCTAAGATAATTATAAGTAAAATAGCATTATGCCTGGAATTTGCTTTAAAATACTCCATCAAATAATCATAATATAATAATAGGGACAATAATAACAGCAATAATCGTGGAGGAGGCAGAAGATTGAAACAAAATAGGCAAAATGCTGATCGTTACTGAAAACTATGGGAACTCACATACATTATCTTTTTTCTGTTGAAAGTTTGAAAGTTTCCATTCTTGAAGAAAATATGTGAAAATTATAATCCATTCTGTGTGGTGGTGCACAAGAATTTATGATTTTATTTTTCATAAAACAAAATGGCTTTTTCTATAGTATAATATTTTTCCTTGTCTAATATTTGTGGTGCTGTGGGATAATATGCTGGGCTGCAAAGTCTGTTTGAACCACATAGTTAGTGGTTCAAGCTCACCAGCCGCTCCTTGGAAACCCTATACGGGGATGCTATGGGTCAGAACCAACTAGACGGCACTTAACAACAACAGCAATACTAATATTGAAAAACCTATGCTTTTGTCCATGTTTTTCTGTTATAGCTTGGCTGGTTCTTTCATTTTCAATCTCAGAGTTCAGTGGTTTGGAGTGTGTCTCTTATAAAAGCAGTAATTCGACTCTATTTTAAAGCTTGGTGTTAGCATCCTTTT